TACTGGTCTCACCTATATGGGTCACCCTTAAGCATAATAATAAGCTTTCCATATAAATGCTTTTCAGGTCTTAATATAGTTCAAAATTAACCATTTCTACTACATGTTATACTTGTGGAATATGGCATCCTAAAAAGCTTGAGAAGAAAAAGAAAGTCAAGACCATGAGCCATCTAGAATCCACGTGTTAGGGGGATGTCAAAGAAACTGGAGATTTCCAGATTGAAGTACACTGCCTTAGCCTCTTCTTCATGTTATAGAAAACAAATTTCAAAGACTTCTCCATGGCTGTGAAGTGGATGCTGATAATCTTCTAATTTAACATTATGATTGATAGAAAAAAATTTTCCTAGGGACTATTTTCATTTGCAGGGGTTGGGGTGGTGGCATAGGGTTTCAGTTTAAAAAAAGTGTTCTGAATACTAACAGAAAAGAAAGGCATCTTTCACTCTAGGACAAGACTTCATTTAAAGATAAAGAACACCTTACATTACAAAAGGTAAGTGAAATTAGCAAATTTCTGTCTCTAAATCTGTAAAAGGGGACAAAAGTTCAATGGAAATATTCCCTTTCAAACAATCAGAGAATCCAGTGATACATTATCCAGTGATACATTATTATTGGGCAAGAACCTTCCCCAAGAGCAGCTCCTGTGCTTCAGCCTTGCATGATATTCACAGGTCACCTTGTCACTGGGAACTTAGCATTCTTTATATTAGAAACGAAGAAAAGAGAGTGTTGTAACAGCCAACCTTTATCTTGCTACATGTAAGGGAGTTCCTGTGATGTGAGCACACTGTTTCTATCTTTCCTCATGAAAGAATCTAAAACAGACATGGCCAAGAGGTCATGGACTATTCTCTATAGTTGGTTGACTCAACAGTGAATGAGCAAGTGGTGTGGGTTCTGAAGTCAGATGCCATGAGTTGTTATGGTGTCTCTGTTCTATCCCATGGCAATCCTAATACATAACCTCCTTTAGAGTGTTAGAAAAGGAAGTTGAACAAATAAAATGCCAATGGTCCATGGACTGTTCTTTTTTCTGGGAACAAAATAAGACATGTTTGAGCTGAATGGATCTAATTTTAGTAACCAAAAGCTTTACAGACCGAACTTAGAATGAATGAAGTGCCTTTCAATCAAAACATAAAAAAACTATTTTTTGTATTTAAATATCCTCATAAACCAACCCAAATTTCTTTATATTTCAGTTATAGAACAGTGCTAAAGTAAAAGTGTCTATCAACAATTCTATTTATCTATGGGCAATGAATAATCGTGGCCCCCTAAAACTAATTAATGTACATGGGAAATAGAAAATTTAAAAATTTTAAACTTTCTTTGAGTTTTAAATAATGCAGTAATCTGAGCAGAATTAGCCATCATAAAATAGCTTTTTATCTTCCTTATATCTTGTAAAAAATATCTATCCCTTAAACATCTCACAATCAGCTTTCTGGCTCCCATATATGTCAGGCCTTCTTTATCTCATGGGTATGTCCTCTCCAGTCCCCACCTCCAGGTTTGATTAAAATATATAGGAATGAGTATGAGTACACACACATAGACACAAGCACATATGCACATTTGCACATGCACATACAATTTATAAAATGTGAAGAGTCATTAGCTTACTGCTGATTCATTTCTATTTCATTTATGATTTGTATTCAGGTAATCTAGAGGACCTAGTTGGGGGTCATTATCTAACACCTTGAATACTACATTTTCTGGATAATAATTCCTTTGCTAGATGGTAACAACAGAATGAAAATAACCATTATTAGTGTTACTCATATATTTTCAATATTAGGTAATGACATAAAACACTTAAAGTTTGAGAGTTATTATATTTAGTATTTCATATTAATAATTATTGTGACATGGTAAAATGTAAAATAGCCCAAACACTCAATATAGTACAGTCAACTAATGGAGAATAGAAGGATAATAAACAGCATATCCATCTTTGTGAGTCAACTGAAAAGTCACAGAGCTCTTTTTATTTTTTTATTATTTCTTTATTTTTCATGTATATGGGTCTTTTTCTTCATGTGTGTCTGTGCATTACATGGATACAGTACCAGAAGAAGCTGGAAGAGGGTATCAGATTCCCTGGGACTAGAGATACAGATGGTTGTAAGCTGCTATGTTGGTGCTGGGAATTGAACTCATATCCTCTAAAAGAGCAGCCAGTGCTCTTAACCTCTGAGCCATATGCCCATCTCTAAAAAGTCATAGACTTAAAGAAATCATCCAGACTTCATGTTCTCTTTGGTTATGAATGTTATCATGAGCTGCAGAATGAAAACACAGATGGAACTCTAGTACTGGCACCTGTGGATGGCAAGTCAAATACAAAACTAGATATTAGGAACCAATTCTAACCCTACTCTACAGCCTTGAGGCAACATTTAATCTCTTATTATTTAAGTAGCTACAGCCTCAAAAATGAGGACAAGCATTAGTATTTAATTACTCTCACAGAAGTTCGATGTGATAGGCTAAGTTAAACAAACGTCTTCAGATCACAAATTAGCAAACACCAGAGTGGGTGTCAGAATAGAACACTGTTCAAAGCACCCTTGGTACCTTCAATGTCACTAGCTGAATGAAGTCTCTTTGCTACCTCTACCGATGGAAAAAAAAAGTGTCAGGTAAGTATTTATGATAGAATTAATCAGGATGTTCTTAGGAAGGAAATATGGTAGAGTATTTATTTTAATAAAGCTCCCTTGATGACATCAGACTCATTATCCAAGACTTAAGAATGCTGTGCTCTACAGGGAGCTACTGTGAGAACAGCAGGACAGCAAGGCTCCACTCTGCTGGGGGCAAAGCGCTTGGCCCATCAGGCAGAATAGATAAAACACTACATTTTAATTCCAATTTTCTTTTCAAAAGAAAAAAAGTACCTTCCATGACAGTGAAATAAGGCCTGCCATCTCATTTGTACACACAGACTGTTTGGCCTTGGGTCGTATGTCTAGAAAGTAACTACTCCTCAAAGGAGCAACTGTTTCAGACTTAGTACAGAGATTACTAATGGGTCTTTAAAAACATATATATATATCTTAAATATAAAGGTCATAAAAACATAAGCATATAAATTTAAAAATATAGCCCTTGATTGTCAGAAAAAGAATATATTAGCAAGGGTACACACCTATATTAAAGTGGTCTATAAGCCTTTCAATCACCCAACTTATCTGAATGCACAGGAATTTGTCCATTTTAATATAGCTAGTCTTCATAAACAGAGTACTCCCTCCTTGTTCTGAATTGAACACCAACCCCCAATTTTAGGTGCTGAGATCTAATGAGAAAGCAATCTAGAAAGAGGTGGGGGCTTTCATGAGGCTCTAATTAAAGAAGATTCTGCCCTCAGGAATGGGATTAAGGTCTTCATGAAAAAGTTCTTACAGGTTTTAGCTATTTGCACTTCTGCCTTCTGTCATATAAAAACACGAAGTTCCTCTCTTTCACAGGATACAAAGCCACCAGATAGCCAGATACATATATATCTTGGATTTAGACTGCCCAGATTCTCAAACTGTCAGAATTAAATCTTTATGTCTCAACTTGTGTTGTTTTGCAATAGCAGCACCATAGGATTTACTGAGAAACTGCAGTGTAACCATCCATTCTAAAAACATCAAAACACAAAACTCAGGCATTATAAAGACCAAAAGATTGGTCACTCACTGCTTCATTCTCCCTTCTTCCTCTGTCCTTCCCTGCTCCCAAGACAGTAACTCTTCCCAAATGGTCTGCAAAATAGGAAGTACTGGTAGCAATCAGAGAACATGACAAAAGAACATAGAAGCAAAGGGATTTCTCCTCCTTCCCCTGTGCTTCAAGCAGCATCCCCAGCTTCCTATGTTGATTCCACCTTAGTCCACAATAGTTCCAACTCCAGGCATCTAGAAACAACCCCACAGCCATCAGCACTCCAGTACTAAGGATAATACAGCCACTTCCCACTGCTGGTCTTTGGGGGCGGGAGTGAGGGGCTACCTGAGGACTCTGCCTTCCCAAGACTTGCATCATTTGGGTTTGTGTCAACAGTGCCCAGTAATAAATTTCCTTTGTTTGTAAAGCCAACAGTGGCCTCTGCACATTGAGTTAAGAATCAGGAGATGGTGGTTCATTCAATCCTGTTTGTACAATTAAACCAATTCACTTTGGAAAAATTTACAACCTCTCCATACCTGGATTCCCTCAGCTTTATAACAAAGGACCATCCCCACCCCCCCAAATAAAAACAAACAGGAAAACATGTTAAAACCCTAATACTCCCTACCATAGCCCAGAGCAATTATATCAAATGCACTGCAGTAGAAACTAGGCATCATTAAAACAGATAGATAGATAGATAGATAGATAGATAGATAGATAGATAGATAGATAGATAGATAGATAGATAGACAGACAGTGCTGCAGTGGTCCTTATTTATGGTTGATCTGGTAAATATTGCATGAAAATGCTGAAGTATGTGTTGGTGTGTTCTTATGTTTTCTAGAATTCTCCAGATCAATAGGTTTAGAGTAGGAATAGGTATGGTTTCAGGAACAAGTTGTTTTTAGCAGATTCTCTACTGTTCTCCTCCAAGCTTATTCTTACCTTATTTTTTATTTATAAGGAATTACGCACTCAATCCAAGTAACTCACTATGCTTAGTGTCTAAGCACTCAGTTATCAGACTGAGTACTTGCCAGCCCAGTAACTGGACTGCCAAGCTGTGTTACAAAGCTTGAGGATAGGCCTGTGATTAATGACTTCCTAAGGCTCCTGGTAGAAGATCTGACCCTTTAACCACACCAGCATTCCTCTCTCGCTGAGTCTTCTGCTGTTTCTGTCTTTCATTTACATGAGTCTGTCCTCTCCCTACTGCTCTCAGAATTCCTGAATTCAGCTTCTTCAGCACAAAGCACCTGTCTTGAATCTAACTCCTGAAATCTGTTCCCATCCTACAGCTTTTCATGCCCTGAGGACTCACCTCTTCTAAATCCCCATCTTCGATACCCTCAACAACCACACCCCTCCCCGAACAGCTCACCAGTGATGTCACCTCACTGGCAGCAACAGGCCACCGAGTTAAAAAAAAAAAGTCCTTGTGGACCACCATCTCAACAAGGTTAAAGGATTTAGTACAAATACACTGCTGCTTTTCATTACACACATGAAAGCCACAAAACAGCTGCTCTGTAATTCTAATTCAGTGCAAACAGATGTACTAAAATCATTATTAAATAAGTATCTCAGAGGATTCTGAGTGAGGTGGTCTTCAGACCAAACTAGTAAGTGTCACAGATTTGTATTGTTATTTTTAAGAAGCAAATGATACCCATTCAAATATCCAGATCTTTGTTAAATGCTTCTCTACAAATAGAGATCCTGATCCACTGTGGGCAGGATGTAGCTAGTTGTGAAGGCAGTAAAAGCAAAGGGAGGGCCCTTTACAATCCAGACCAGACTCAGGCTATCAAGGGCATTCACAACCACATGCCCTGCCCTGCTGTGGGTGAGAGGCCGAAGAGTCTGGATTTGTCCTACCATTGTGACCTCTGGGAGATCCAAAAATCACAGGAAAAAAATTAAAAGACATTATAACCTACTTTCTTCACTCAAATATGTTTCTCCTCTTTCTTAATAGTCCAGAAAATATTAATACCAAGAGAGAAACATGTTAGATAAATCTTATCTTAGCCTAAGAGGGAATTGAGGTACTTAGCAACATTCCCTTACATCATAGGGGAAAACATTCTTATCCATTTGTGTATACACATAAGCTGACCAACAACAAGGGCTGCCCTTGGCAAGATACAAACATTTATGGAACAAACTTTCTCTCTGGGATATTTATAGAATACTTCGTATTTCATAGTCTTTGGAATCACCTGAGCTAGCAGGAGGCTAACTTGATAATCTCCTAGCCGAGTTGGCTCTGTTGAAACAATTTGCAAATCTCTCAAGATGTCAGAGGTGCCTCAAACTCAAAGGCAATTAGGAAGAGTCCAAACTATAGTCTGCCCTTGCCACTTATTCCTCCGGACCTAAACTGGAAGGGCTCAGAAGCAATCGTCACCACGCTTCTACAAGCCAAATCATGTATGTACACACATAACCTTAAAGTTCTCTACAAACAAACACTACAGCCTAGCATGACATACACTTACAATGTGAAAAGAAGTTTGAAGTAACCAGGAATTGGCAAGGTGGGGCTGAAACTGCAGTAGCCAAATCCAAAATTAGAGCTCAGGCAGTGAGTTTGTAGGATAAAATCAATTGCCTGGCTTCAAAGTCAATCTCCAACTTCTTATCCATGAACCTTGAGCAAAATAATAAACATTTTTGTGCTTTAGCCTTTGCATCTTTAAAACACAAGTAATACTAAAATATCATCACATTTTCATAAAATCCCTATTGGGAGGCCCTAAAAACTCTGAGATATACAGTAAACTCATACAAGTCACCGGGCAGACTGTGCTGTCTCCCATACTGTGCCTCCTTCCTGTTCACCACACTTCTCCCCTGCCTTTCCTTTGCTCCGCCATTTTGCCTTTCTCCTTTGAGGTTTTATAAAATAAATAAATAAAATTCTACATATCCACTCAAGTTCAAATTTTAGTTGTAGGGCAATTAGGAAACATTCATCAACACATAACAAGGACACAGCAAGGCCTTAATGACCGGAATAAAATGTTAAAGGAGGCAGAATGAGAACACATAATTTACTTAAAAACGCAAGGCAACATCTAAAATCCCTTTCAGAAGAATTAAGTGACTTCCTGGAGAGCAAGCACAGAAGTAGATTTCACAGCTCTCCAAGTCAGTGTTCAGGGAACTAATGGGCAGCCTCCTTCTGTTCCTAACCTATTAAGTGAGTGTTTGGGGTCCAAATATTCAATCGTTTGATAAGATGTAATATGACATATCTGTTAGATTGCTTCTCATAGGCTTGGGGACTCTGATCTCTACTCTGCAATCCAAAAGTTAACAAAGGAAAAAAAGCTTTCCAATGGGGAATGAAGTAGTTTGGTGAATTTTAAATTATGGTAGAGATGTCACCTGTTTTCTACAAGATATAAAAATATACTTTCACAAATTATAATTGGGCTTCCAAATTTATACTTCTTTTATTCTCTTGACTTCTCTTTCCAACAATCTGATTTTCTCTGTGTCACACAAATTGCTATATTACAGGGTTGGCAAGGCCACAGCCTCTCTTATAGAAGAACCCTTTTACAAAGACTTAACGACCCTGTCATATTCTCTAATTAATGAGGTCAGGTGTGAACAATACCAATATAGCATATTTTTAATAAAGTAAATGCTCCAAAATGACACTTATAGGTGCACTTTGGACCTTAGGTAAGCATATAAATGGTCTTTCACATGAATGTAGTCGTCTGTATTTTATTTTTGTACTGCATATTTTCCTACACAATTCTTCAGCCTTCCATGTTTCTGGCCACCAACGTAACAGGTGACAGGAAGAGTAAAGTCAGATGATAAGAAAAAGAAAGGGATAATAAAGAAGGCATGGAGGAAATTGGTATCAGAAATACTGGAACTAGAGGTTTGATGGGGACAGGAATGAGGAGGAAGAAAATATTCCTCAAAAAGAAAGCAGAGAGGTGGCAACCATCTGCTGGGCTTCCTGGCATGCCCACTGTGAAAGAGAGAAGAAGAACCACTGATATGAAGGGCAGAGGATGGAACAAAATGCAGAAAAGACTCAGCTCAGGGCTGTGTCCTATCATCTCCTCTCTCCCTGCTAGAGCATCATAAACTTTGTCTTCTATCTTATGTCTTTGATTGTCATATCTTCCTCCATATTTGATTCCCATGTCTTGTTTTTTATCTCCTATCTAGAATATAAGCCTTCCCAAGGAAGGAACAGAATTGATCCTCTGAGTAGTAGGTCAAATACACAAGTAATGTTTTTGTTTTTTTAATGCACACTATTAGAGTATTACTTTTCCAATCAATCTTATCTTTGAATTCACAATGAAGAGAATTGGGTGGGGGGAAGCTAGGAAAATCTTGAAGAACTAAGAATCAAATAATTTAGGTTATTACAGGCAATGAAGAAAGCTGCCTCTCCAACATGGTGTCTACAGGAGCAGATGAGAAGGTTGATGAGCTCTTACATCCGCACAGCTAATCCAAAGCCATAGACTCCAAATTGGCTTGATTCTGACACCCGGTTGGAGAAGAGCATTTCTCACGGGGATTCACTTGCCTTGCCCAACAAGCTCATAGTTCTCCCTGGTCACAGGGGAGACATCAAGCTGATGTGTGCTGCTCTGAAGCCTGAGGGGTGCCTGAGGCCTGTAGCCATGGACTGGCAGGGACCTTTTTGGACCCAAGCTATCTATCTATCTGTGGGGGTTATAAGTGTGAGAAGAACCTGATTTCATCCTAAGCCTCTCTGGCTGACATTGTATGGGGTAATCAACAAGTTAACCATGACTAAAGCTGCTGCACTGATGATGATGATGGCATCACACCTGAAGCCCCAAGGTTCTCCTCAAATGAGATGCTGTTCAAAGACTACCTCCTCTAGTGTTCTTCCTTACCCCGAACGCCCTTGCATCACCTTCCTGTACCTACTTCATGATGACACTTGTGTGCTCTGCTCTGCTATGGAATAAGCATCTGGGAACTTTCTGCCGTAAGGAACATAGGTCACAATCTTGACTTTAATACTTGGAAACATTTATAAGCAGCGACATCTCAGGACAAAGGAAAGACTTTTGCCTACTTCAGGGGAAAGGCCAGACTTCTAAGACACACTCTGAATTTTTATAACCTGCTTAGTTACTGGGATTTTGCACTTTGGAGATGGGAGTGATAAATCAAGCACCCAAATATTACATCATCATCATCATAAACCAGCTTACATCTTTCTCACGAGATAGGAATTACTCATGCTTGTACCTCTCCTGTGACTACATTACCTGGTGTGTTCTCAATTCTGGCAGAAGTCATCTCCTATGAGGTAATTCTAATAGCCCACTCACAGGAAAGTATTATACACAAAGACATATTCACCACACAGAAGCCCAGACACAGCTCTACACAGTACATCAAACCCAGCTACAGGGATAGACTTAAAGATATGTTCCCTTAATAACTGAAAGCTCCTTTTGCCTGGAATTTACATGGTGCTCTGAGAACTCCCCAAGCACAGCATATAAAATTAAGTGAATCTAGCCTACTGAGCAGAGTTTGCAAATTCAAGGTCTTCTCTACACAAGTGTATTAACATCTCTATCCATTTTATTTTCACTGTTTAGTATAAAACATTGGCATAACTTAAAATGCTCAAAGTACTCCAAGTTATAGTTTCTTGGTCTCAACACTATTCAGAACATGGTCACAGGAAGAATTTACTTTAGGATGATTTTGGCTACCCTTGTTCTCTAATATATACCAATAGGACCCCTTCATCCCTCATGAGAAGCAAAAATGACTTTACACACTTCACAGTGTTCTAGAGGGCAAAACCAACACCAAACGGTGGTCACTAACCTAAATAAATCACTCTCCTATCATCATCTAAAAATGAGAATATTTTATAATAGTGGGAAGCAATTTAAATCTCTATTCTACTCCAGAATGTAACACACAGCTGGGTATCGGGCTGCAGCCTGGATCTGGCCTTGTCGGCTGACTACACACATAATCTCTGAACCTCAGTTTTTTACCTATAAAACAATGGTGATCACAGAGGCTTAAAACAGCTAGCAGAGAAGAACATTAGAACTGTCTTCTGTACAGTAAGTGCTGGCTGCGACCACTGTCCCATCTGTAAGCCATTTATGTCTTGGTTTCCTCCTCTGCTACTTAGCAATCATTAACAGTACTAATATACTATGGTAAGAGTCTGCCACATTGGATCAGAAGTACTTGTTAAAGGGAGCTTGAATTTTAAGGATATTTTAATAAGTAATTTATATTTCCCTACTAAAAATAAAAACAGTATATGCATCCAAACCCAAGAAAAGAGATGATTAATAACCTAAATATGTATTTTCCAATATGTACTTCCTATTTTAAAATGATTGTGTCAACATTATGATGGGAAGCCAATGCTCTAACTCAGAAGAAATGAAAACTAGATATTGAAAATGCCACCGAATTCCTGGCACAGAAGTGTCCAACAAACATAGCTATATTTTTTTATTGTTGTCATGATCCATGACCAATGACTACAGCCACAGCCCAAATACACTGTGAGAGAAGCAAGTGGGAACTTACAGGTGACACACACACCAACCATCCCTGAGAAACCCAATAGGTTGTGGACGGGGGTGTAGAAACTAAATATGTATACTGTGAAAAAGTGGCATGTAATATCATCTAACCTATTTATATACATCCACTCATATGCAAACATGTGCATACACACACACACACACATGCACGCGCACACACGCACACGCGCGCTCGCAAGTGCGCGCACACGCTACTGACATGTTATGAACCACAGGCAAATAATATCAGCTTCATATGTGAAGAACTTTTAATTTAAAAACAGGTTTGATATAATCATATCCAGGTAGACACTGGTTTACAAGATATAACACTATAAGTGGACTTGACACTAGCTAACATTCCCAGTGCCCTCCCTTTCTCCCTCAGATCACACAGCCACACATTCAAGCCAATTTATTGCTCCAGGGGATCTACTACAACTTCCTGTAGAACAAATGAAGGCAGGCCTCTGTCTTCAACGGTGCCCTAGCTACTGGTGGGATGCAAGTCATTCTCTTTGGGATACCTTAAAGCTACTACATCTAACTTTAGTAAGAGCCAAATATTTTTTAAAGAAAAAATTAAAAATCAGAACAAAGGCTAGGTAGTGTTAGTCCAGAGGTATAAACTAGAATCTAGATGCATCTTAAGCAACTCTAAACTGAAAATTGGGGGATACAAGTACAGGGTGTCTCAGAAATAAGATTTTGTTTGGTTGATTGGCTTTTTTTCTCTTTCTTCCTTTTCTTCCTTTCTTTCTTTGTAACAGGTTCTCACTATGCAAACCCAGCTGTTCTTGTACTTGCTATGTATAACAATTTAGCTTTGAATGCACAGCTCTGCCTACCTCTGCCTCCTGAGTGCTGAGAGCACAAACTGGAGCCATGACACTCAGCTTTAAGAAATAGGTCTTTAACCTGGACTGTGTAATTTAAATTTAAATTTGTGGACATTCAAATTTAAGGAGTGTAATATTTGAATAGCAGAGTCAATATTTAGAACTCAAGATCTACATACCAAGGTTTCCCATAGCAAGGTTCAGACAACCCAAAAGATCAAGTCAGGGGACAGGAATAATAGGCTTGAAATTCTACAGAGCTTTACACTAAGGAACCAGGAAAGATGACAGTCTGCTGCCCCAGAAACAATTGAAGACCAGAGACTGATCTAAACATGAAAAAGTTATTAGAATATCACATATTCTCAGTCAGGCCTGGTGTGCAAAACTCTGGTAAGCCTCATAGCCTGAGCCTGGAGGGATGCAGGCAGGAGACTGTGTCCCCAGCAGAGATGGCAGCACACAAAACATTTGCAGATTACATCCATCTTAGAAGAAGGAGAAGAAGGAGAAGAAGAGGAGGAGGAAGAGGAGGGAGAGGAGGAGGAGGAGGAAGAGGAGGAGGAAGAGGAAAGAGGGGGGTAGAAAAAGAAAGAGAAAAGGAAAGAACAGAAAAGAAAGACACCTGAGTCTAAACTGGAAGTATATTTGGAATTGCTATTTTAGCATCAGTGTCAGGGGGATGAATAATTTATATTACCCTGGACTAAAAAAGTAGCCAAATATACCAGTTTCCAAACTATTTAAATAACTTTTAGGCTCTGTATGGTAGTATGTAAATGTTTTCATGGCAGTGGTTTTATATCTAGGATTTATCAAACAAGATATAATTACTATTTTAAGAATTTACCACAACTGTAACATAAATGTCTTTAAAACTAAGAACAAGTACGCATCCCATTTCATAACATATATATATATGCACACACACACATATATAATGAAATCGTATGCATGGCTGTCTTAGATGTCATATTTGGTGATTCAGAGTTAAAGCCAGTTCACTGGAAATTGCTGAGCCTCCTTCTGATGGCGTAACCATTATTATGATGTCCAGAAGGAACATCAGCAAGTGAACGGTGCTCCATGAACATCTAGTAACTAAAGCAGAGTAGAATGTCCTCCATAGTCTAGAGGCTTGAACAGAAAACTTCCAACAAAAATAAACAAGTAATGGATAGAACTATTGAGATTTACTAAAATGTATCTCCTTAATAAATCAGTATTGAACTCCAACCAGGTTTTGAGAACTTACTTCACAGCCAGACCAACTCATAATCTTCTTAAGAACTGGGGGCATGAAGACATGTAGGCTGCTAGTGTATAGCCAACACCGTCTGACTACTTCAGAACTGCATCTCTTCCTCTTCCATACAACACCTCAGCTCCATATCACACAGAAAGGAACAGTGGGTATACATTAACAAAGACTATTTATTCACATCTAAGCAACACTCTATAAAGCCCACACAAAGAACCACTGCATCTAGCTTTCTGTCTATAACAAAGTGTTATCTATACAGGGCTAGAATCTAAAATTTAGACCCTTATTCTCTTATGAATCTTATTTCAATATGATAGCAGAAGGTTCAATTTTTCTTTTGGAATTCTTTTAAAACCACTGAATTTAAAAACACAAAATATAAATGTTCAAGTAAATAGTATTAGTAAACAGTCACTTGTGCAATAAATAGTGCACTTTTCAAATGTCATGCTTTATACAATAGCCAAACGACCCTGAGGACAAGGTAACAACAGCCATGGGCCCACACATCTACCCAGAAAGGGTTTCTGCTACTAAATGAATGAGCAATTTAAATAATGTAAATGCCCAGTTGGCTAACCCTTTGGAGCTGACATTGCAACAGCAGGTAACTTTACAAGAGACTCTAGAGGGATAAAGAGAGGAGTAACTCTGGCCTGGGAAGAGCCACAGTGAGCAGGAGAGGCCTAGGGATCAGCCACAGTGGCAGGAATGTCATGAAGACAGTGATGCCTAAGGGCAGAAGCTGAGTAGAATGGTGAACTGCAAAAACAAAGAGCCAGGGATGACAATGTAAAAGGCAGAGAAAGAAGCTGAAGGACAAACCACGACCTGCATGGTCATGCCTCAGTACCCGAGG